GCATTCAGGGTCTAGGCGACAAGTGGCCCTGAGGATGCCGCCCTGCTCCCTCGCCCTGGTGACGTCACCCCGCAACTCTGCGTCGATCTGGGATCCATCAAGTTGGAGCCACTTGGGTGTGTAAAGCTAAGTGTGTTATCATTTTCGCCACAAATTAACAGTTTCTATGTAAATATTGGTGTTTCCTCACCCCATGAAGGCGAGAGGAGGCAAATGGCACCGGCACATTTGATTTAAACTAATTAAAAGCAGAGGGTCATGCAATGCAATATATTGATTTTACCAGTGGGACTTAAATCGTTTATAATAAGTGTACACAGCTGCAACGCTCTCCCACCACCTCGCTTTAAAGGCTAATCCTCACATTCCTTCTGACAATAACATGACAGGTCCCACACATCCCTGCCTGTGCCTCAACCCCTGGTGACACTGCCAGAGTGCATTAAGGCGAAGCTTTGCAGCAACTTGCCAAAAAAAACAAAAAACAAAAAACAAAAAACCCGAGTGTGTCGACAGCCCCCAGCTAGGTCTGAAGAGCGATTGCAAAAAAGTTAAGGTGGTCAGCCATTTGGTGCAAAGGACTCTCCACTCAGAATATTCAGCTGGTTACATGGATGGGCACGCTGGGGCAGGGTGGAGACTGGGGCAGTGTTAGGACACTCTGGTTCTTGCAATGGGCCAAATATGACCTTACCCAATGGGGGGGGGGAGATATTAAAGCGATAGGGGTGATCAATCAACTTAGATGGGACTCTCCCTGGAATGAAGTCATCACTTGTCTCTGAGCTCAGCGGACATGTGACATTCGCTCACATCGCAGGCATTCCGGTGGTCAGGGATCGCTCGCCAGCTGTGTTTATCTCGGCAGAGGCTTGAGAGCCTGCTACCCGAGGTAAGGCCCCAAACTGCAGCTCGCAAGGGCTGCATCCCGGAAGCAGCATTGGCTCCATGCATTTAGACAATCGTTCCTCTGCTGCTCTGCAATCGATTTTTATCTGGGCCACCTCCCTTACTCTTTCGATGAGCCACTCCCCACCCAATGATAAGCCTGGGATAAAACCCCAAAATAACCACCCAAGCAGGCATCCAGAGCTCAGCCTTAACCTGCTTGGATTCTAGAAGAGAAATACAAAGAAGATCAAAAAAGTTCAAATCTGGGTCACATACACCCTTGGGAGAAGGGGGAAGAAGATCTCTGATTTATAGAAGCTGGAAAATGAGGTTTAAAAGAAGTGATTTTGAAAGGGTTACTAAAAACACAGCTGTTGGTGCACTCCTATAGTGAAGGCGCTGTGCACCAAGAAAGAAAGAAAAAAAGAAAGAAGGGGGAAAGCCTGTGTGACATCTATATTAACCTCTGGCTGCTTACCAGTGAGGGCCGGCGCTCCGAGCGCTGGAATGTGGAACAGCCCTTTCCAAATCTTAACACAAGCCAGGTTACAGCTGCAAACGCTGCAGCCCATGCGCCCTTCGAAGCACTCCCTGAAGGAAATTTTTAAACTGTAACAGAATCTTTTTCTAATACTCTACAGTGGTAGGGCCTGTTCTTAAGGGGCAAAAGGAGAGCTCTTAATGCCAAACACTTGTCAACAAAAAGGACAGCCAGATGGTATGAAGGAGAAGTCAAACAGCAAGGCCTCTCGCGGCTCTTCAGCTACAGTCACAAAAGCCACTTTTAGACGCGGAGCCCAATCCTGATAGGTTTCCAGTTTTCTCTTTTTTTTTAATTTAGCTTTGAAGATTAAACAAATGTGGTTCCTTCACAGCCCGGACCAGAGATAAACACGCATCGTGCACGCCTAATGCCAGCCGGCTGCTTTAGGAGATTCCAAGGGAAGCTGCTGAAATTCTCCAAAGAAGGAAAGGTGGGGGCTATCCCCGGGTTCCGACTGCAGAATTCACAATGCCTGGGCACTATTTGAGAGAGGAGAGCCTGTTTTGAATTCCAAAAATTAAGTCTACGCTGCGGAGTTGGGGGCTTGTTAATCCAAACCAGTTTACAAATCTCGCCATTGAATTTAAGGGGCCCAGGCTGGGAAGATGTGAGTCTCAGTTCGGCAGCTCGACCAGCATTACCCGGGGCTTTAATGTACAGGCTGGTCTTTGTCATAAGGTGAAGTCTGAAGTCCTCATTCTCGGCACCTGGTTTTGTCGTAAATGCTCCTCCAGTTCCCTCTCTCGTTCAGATCCTGCTCAGCCTGGCAAAAAGCTTGAATTCCGAGAAGGACTTATAGGAACAAAAACCAGTTTGGCTGCAGACAGAAGGAAGAATAAACGCACCAGGTCTGCAAAAGCCGTCAGAATTCAGGCCGAGGTCTCCCAAGCACTCCAGGACAGTGGCGGTATGCAGTGGAGGCAGGAGGGGCCCGTGGGGGAAGTCGGCCTCCCCTCAAGAGTCCCCCAAAGTTCCCCTCAGGGCCCCTGAAGGATGACAAGTAATGGCTTGATATGGACAAGTGGCATTTTCTTATTCTTAGGTCAAGTGTCAGACTAAGCACACCTTTAGAAAACTTTGTATGTTCCAGATTAATATGATTTGCAATCCAAGGAAAAACCATGAACTTTCTGAGCAAACTCAGCTTCTAGGGAAGTGTCCTACACCCCCCTCCAATCCCACTGCCAACCCCAAGCCCCTCCTGGGGAGGAAATCTGGAACCAGGGTGAATGGGAGGGACAGGCAGTTGATCCCTGTGCTGGGCAGAAATAGGTCAACCTTCGAAGCATCTACAGAAAACTCTTGCCAAACTGTAGTCCAAGTCTTCACCCAACTAATTACCTCGCGTTTTAGGGACAGAGGGGAAAAAAAACAAGGTCAGCGCACTCTGTTAAAAGCCACTCTGCCATCTAATTTGAAATGGTGTTCCAGAAAGCAAGACCTGAGAAAGTCAGGGCTGGCCCACAAAGCCCAAAGCCAGCCCTGATTAAGAGGCTCAGACAAGCCGGTCTTTGTCCTTTCAAGATGAAAGAAATGGGACTAACGGGGTTGAAAGGTGTGTGTACAGCCAGAGGAGGAAAACCACCCAGCCGTGGCCTTCCCAAACATGTCCCAGCTTGCTCTCACCACCAAGGGGGAGCACACACCTCTGTCCCAAGATCCCCAGGGGTGCCTAGTTGGCAACTTAGTCCTCCTCCAGTGGGGAGGGGAGTGGGCAGTCCTGGGTCTGGCCCTGCTATTGGTCCACAAGCAGCAGGGTGCTTTTTGCATGGGATTTGCAGAGCCTTCCACAGAAGCCAGGGCTTACAAATACCTTTTTAATGAGCCCAGCCAGGCTCTGAAGGCAGCCACTGGGACCTGCTGCGTTCACAGGTAGTCATGGGTACCCAACAGAACAGGATACCATAAATTCTGGCCAGAGAAAGGGCCCTGATTAACCCGGGCTTCAGGACAGCTCCAGGGCTCTGCTATAACTTATTTATTTATATGTATGTATTGGGAATTTTTCTTTAGTTTCTGGTATAGGTCATAAATATACATTGTAAAAACAAAAAAATCACAGACAAAAGTGCAGGCAATGAAAGATCAGACCCCAGCTCCAGGCCTGCCCCACCCCCCAGTAAAATCTATTTCCAGTTCCTGGTGTCTTCTTCCAGTGGGACGGGATGATATACAAGCACATATGTAACCTCCCTGATCTGCACCTTGCTTTTTTCCACCTCATACATCTTGGAGATTGTTCTAAACCGGGACATATGGAGCTGCTTCGTTTTAACAGGCTGCTTAGTATAATTTAAACTTTCTTGAAGTTATTTTGGCATCTAAACCTCCCATCCCTTGCTCGCTGAAACTTGTTTCACTATTTGATTTTTGGCTATTATTAAGGGCAGACAATGGCGTCCCGGGAACTCCAGGGACCTTATCTGGAGCGGGAAGCCTTCAAGTTGATCCTGGCTTCCCTGCGCCCTCCATCTACGCCCCCAGTGCTCGGCGGGGGGCTTGAGGATCATTATTTCCATGTTGACACAGCGCCCGTGGGCGTAAGTTTGCTGTCTTGACTCTGTTCGGATTTTCGCAGCAAGTTACACGTGTAGAATGAAAGCGGCTCAGGAAACAGCGCTATCGGGGCGTGTTATCTCGGAAACCAAATATTTGATCATCAGCCCTACAGCGCGCTGCCGGGGGTTAGTTTGAGCGAGTCTGGTGAGTGTGCGTGCACAGCGGGAGGGGGGGCCCCCGCGCCCCCGCCGCGGCCCCAGCCTCCTGTCCCCCGGGCCGTCGCGGCTCCACTTCGGAGCCGGGTCCCCCAGCCGCCCCCGGCGGCGTCTCCTCGGAGATTCCCGCGCCACCCAATCGCCAAAAGCCGTGGTTTGCGCGCCACATGTGATAAACGCTGAAAATGGATTCTGCCCGCCCGGGACCTATCATTAAATATTTAAAATAGAAAGCTCGCAATGGCAACGTTTCTTCCCCAGCTCCAGCCGGGAGAGCTGAGAGCGAGGGGGGCGGCCAGGAGAGGGGCCCCGAGGCGCTCGGGGTGCGCAGCACGCTAGGGCAGGCGCACCGCGAGCGGACAGGTAGGGCTTACTAAGGCCGGGAAGGGGGCGCGACGCCAGGGATGCCAGGGCCAAGCCGGGCTGAGAGAGGCCCAGAAAGGGCGGGAAGGCAGCTTCGCCGAGGGGGGCCCTTTAAACCCAGGTAGCGCGGGCCGCGCTGACCCGCACGGCTCACATGACCGAGCCCCGCGCTTTGAACTGAGCCGCGGCCGGCCCGGCGCCTCCTTCCCCAGAGGTGCGGCCGCCCACTTAACCCGAAGGGGCCTTCGGACCAGTCCTCTCCCCAAAACTCCACCAGGCCAAATTAGCCTGGCTGGCTCTACATGGGGTGCGCACGGCTTGGGGTCCACTAGGACCGGGGGTGGGAGACCTTTGGCCAGGCACTACGGTTTTGCAAACGGCCGGTGTGGAAAGATGGGCGGGCTGGACCTAAGAAGCGGCCCCCGCCTCCCTGTTCCAAAGCGCCTCCTGGCCCGGACGTTCACCCCCTTCCTCCTGCCCTCACTCACCGAGGTTGACGAAGCTCATGACCATGTCGGCGTCGGTGAGGAAGTGGCTATCTTGCAGGCTGGCCAGAGGGGGGCCCTGGGTGCTGAAGACCGCCTTGTAGGGGTAGGAGAAGCCCTGGCCGTCGGGCCCGCCACCCTCCTCCACCGCCATGGCATTGTACAGGTCCAGCATGAACATGGGCGCCGAGTTGTGCTTGCCCTGGAGGTGGGGGCGCGGGCGATGGGGCAAGCCCAAGATGGAGAGGATCTCGCGCTGCATCTCCCGTCGCTCCTGGCTGCGGAGGCGCCGGTGGATGAAGCTCGAGTGCACCTCGTTGTCCAGGCTGAAGTCGGCCAGGGCGGAGCGCAGCAGGAACAGGGGCGCCCAGAGCGCCACGAAGCTGTGGGGCGCCGCGGCGCGCAGCGAGCGCACGTGCATCGCGCCGGCTCTACGCGCGACCCGGGCTCCGGGCACCCGGCCCCAGGTGGCGGAGGGGGGCAGGCAGCCGTCCCCGCCGCTCGGTCACTTGCTGCAGACGGGCCCCGCGGCGCCCGCGCCGGACATGGCCCCTCCCCGGCCGGCTGCTCTCTGCCGGGACCGCCGCCCCCGGCTCTGCGCTGGCCCCGGGGCCCCTCGCCCCGCACTCACCCTGGCGCACCGCAGGGCTCGGAAACCCGCTCGAACGAGCGAGCGAGCGAGCGAGCGAGGAGGCGGGCGCGGGTGGGAGGAGCAGCCAGCAAACCTAGGAGCCGGGAGAGCGAGCGCCGGGGAGGCGGCGAGGCGGCGGCGGGCGGGCGAGCGCTCCCTCTTCCCGCTCCTCTCGCGCTCCGGCCCTCGGGCGGCGGCGACCCACCCTCCTCCGAACTCCGACCGCGGAGAGCAGGGGCCCCGGGTCGCTCTCCCTGCCCTGCGCGCCCTTGATCGCACGAGAGGCCGCCTCGGGAGCCCCAGAGTGGTGCGCGCTGGGGCCTGGGAGGAGGAGGAGGCGGAGGACGGGCTTCCAGGGGCCCCTCCCGCGCCCGCGGCCTCCCACCTGCCCTCGGCCCCGCCCTCCCCCCAGCTGCGCCCAATGGGTTCATTCATTCCTTCCAGTGCGCTCTACAAATATTTACCGAGTGCCCACAGGGTGCCCAGCGCCGGGTCGGGCGGCGCGGGGATGCGGAGGGAGGAACCCGAGCCGGCCGTCCCTCCCCTCCCCGGACTCGCAGTCCGGACCGGGAAGGAGGCCTGAGCCGGATTCGTGGGATTTGGGCCGCGGTGGAAGAAACTGGAGGAATGCGAGAGGGCGCGAGAACCCGAGAGGGCTTCCCGAAGGAGGTGCCCCCCCCAGCCCCTCTAGTCGCTCTGCCCCCTCCCTTTTACTCCAGCCACTCTGACCCCTCTCGTGCCACTCCAACTTGTCGCCAGATTGTCTTTGCACTTGCCATTCCCTCTGCCTAGAAGTCTCTCCCCTCCCTGGACCCCTCCCCCATGACCTTCATCAGTGCCTGGGCTGGCCAACCCTCCACTTCCAGGGGCCACTCAGGTGCCACTTCCTCCCAGAGACCTTTCTTAACTAGCAAAGCTGAGGTCACTTCCCTGCCTCCTTCCCACACACACTTGTTTTATTTTCCTTGACTCCTCTCGCCATTTGGAATTACTGTTTGAATTATTCGTGCTTTCCTTATTGGCTCGTCTCCCACACTAGAAATGGAACACTCTGGAGGCCAGGTGGGTGCTTTTCTCAGCTGCCCTGTACCCGAAATGCCTTGAACCCAGGGCCTGGCAGCCGCTGTGCCTGCACCCTCGTTTTTTGAGTAAATAAATGGCATTGTGTGAGCTGGACATTCCCTCTCCACCTCCCCCCCTTTGGGGCCCAGTTTATTTCCAGCCACACCTCAGCCTGAGACCAGATACCTGAGCCCCACCACTGTGTGACCTTCCCATCAGCCCCTGCCTGGCGCCCAGTTTGCACCCAGTTACCTCCAGGGGGCCTGTGCCTGGGACCTCCCTGGACAGACAGCCGCCCCTGGCCTCCTTTCTTCCCTCATCTATTCACTCCACAAACAAAAGAGCCCAGCTCACGCTGGGCATGGGCACAGGCCGCCCAGACAACTCAGAACCTGCTATGAGACCATAAGTGAATTACTGGTCTTTAGAGCGTTGGTTTCTTCTTCTGTAAATATGGTCTCAAAATCGCTCTTCGTCCAGAGTGGCAGTGAGGACCATGGGTCGAAGTTCAGCCGTGCCGCCTTCCCCTCTTGGGACTGCCCCACAAGCCAGTGCTTCCCATGTAAGGGCCGGACAGAGTGTCAGCCCACGGCGTCTGGGATGAAAGGCGAGGGCTGCGTTTGGGGATGGGGTTTCCTTTGGGAGGGGGTCTGGCTAAGCCTCACCTGGGAGCCGGGAGAAAGCCCCAAGAGCTAGCACAGAGGAGCTAGGTCTTCTAGCTTTTCTGGAGCAGAGGTGGTTCTGCCAGGCGGCCTTATGGGGGCTTTTGGACAAGATGGCAGCCTGAGGGGCCACGTGGGTGGAGGCCAGGCAAGGAGAAGAGACATGCAAGGCTGCAGGGCCCAGCCATTCACACCACATAGGCAAGCCTGGTGCATGGGCCCCAGGCGGCAGGATAGAACCCGGCCTGAGTCCAGGGCCCAGGGCTGGGCCGCTGCCCACCTGTCAGTCAAGGCCATCTGAATGCCCCTGCCCCTTGCCCGTCACCCAGTAACTACCTTCCTTCAACGAGCACTTTCTGGGTGTCAGGGTGGGCTTTGTGGGCCAGCGATCTATGTAGGCGCCTATGCCCCCACACTCAGAAGGGCCCCACACTTGGCTTAATGCTCTACTGTGGCCATATTGCAACTCTTAGGAATCTATGCACAAAGGGCTCCCGTTTTCATTTGGTGCTGGACCCTGAAAATGATGTGGCCCATCCCACGCCAAGCACAGTGCTGGGCGGGAGGGTGCAGCACGGAGTCGGCCCCCACGGTGGCCTTCATCACAAGGCTGGCTTTCAGGCCAGAGGAGACACAGCGAGAACTGTAGGTACGGTTTGGGGGCGGGAGGAGAGGCGGTGCCTGCCCATGGATTCTCTCAGGGAAGGACGCGTGGGTTCAGTGGAGGGACCCAGGTGGGGCAGGGCACACAGGAGGGCCACAGGGAGGAGAGACCAGGGATGAGCACTGTGGACGGGGGACACTGACACAGGGACCCTCTGAGGCAGGCGGAGGGGTGCTGGCTGGCGTCAGTGTTCACGGGGACGTGTGCAGCCCAGATCATTCCAGCCTGTGATAAGTGACGCGGGAAATAAACAAGGTGACACGGTGGGAGGTGGGAAGAGGCCCTCCTGGAGGAGGTGCCATTGCCTGAGTCCCGGGAGAATGAGAAACAGAAGGCTTTGCCCCAGGGGAAAGGCATCCCAGGCAAAGCGACCAGCAAGTGCACAGCCCCCCAAAGCCAGGAGCAGACCCCAGGCTGCCCAAAGCTGCCCCTGCCTCCCAGGGCTGGCCTTCTAGGGGCAAAGCCACTGCCACGGCCCTGCCACCTCCAACGCCAGCTGAGAGGAAGGTGGTTGCTTCATAGCAAAATCTAAAACGCTACTCCTCTGCAGCAGCCTTCTCTGCTTTTTAGTCCACTCTCAAATCTTCGGGGGAGATTTTTTTAACTAGCAAGTGAGGCGAGGATGGGGGCAGCAGCTATTGGTGCTACCAATTTGCCTATGAAAACAACTGATTGTTCATCGTCTGTTCAGTCACACACACACACCCTCATCCCCCACAGCCACCCCTCTGTGCATCTCACTTAAGGCCACCTGAGCCTAGCACACAGTAGGTGCTCAGTAAGTACCTGCTGAATGAATAGTAGGCAGCACAGCCAGTTCCTAAGAGCGTGGTGGACTGAGGGCTGGACTGTGCAGGCGCCAGGCTAAGGCATCTCCCAGAACCCTCACCCCAGCACCCTTCCTCTGGGACGCCATCTTTTCTCATGTAAGATGAAGAAACAGCATGCTCTCCATATCCAAGACCTAGAAGAGATAAGGTTCCCTCTGAACTCCCACAGCCCCCTGTTTAGCCTTATCTTCCCTGTGATCCATGCTGGGGGAGGGGTGGGCTCTTTATTTTCCCTGCTTTCTTCCCCAAAGGAGTCCCCAAGATAGCACCAGGCCCTCAGAGAATGCTTGCTGAATGAATGAGTGAATGAACGAATGAATGAATGAATACAAACGTGCAGGCAGGAAGTAATATCTGGCTGGGATTACATCAGATGCTGCCCTGAGAGCTGAGGCCACCAGCAAAGGCCTCACCGTTGTTTAGAGAAAGTCAGATGACAAGCAGCAGCCCGCCCACCTGGTTTCAGTCCAGCCCCGCCACTTACAATTGTCCACCAAGTATTTAACCTCTCTGTGCCTCAGTTGCCCCCATCTGTGTAATTGAGAGGACCAATAGCGCCTGTTCTTGCAGGGTTGCTGGGAGGATTCAGAAGTTAATTCAATTCATGTAAAGGACTTCGCAAGGTGCCTGGGGCACAGAGAAAGCACTTGATAAAGTCAGCTACCATCTGGATGAAAAGGAAAATATGTTCACAGGAAAACCTCCTAAGTTTAAAAATAACAACACAGTGTTTCACGATGGTCTGCTTCTTAGCCAAGCAGAGGAAAGCAAATTTATCCTGACTCTGAGATCTGGTGCAGGAGCCAGCAGGCAAGAGAGCAGAGCTGACAAGGGTATTGGAGGTGAAAGGCAAGTCCTTGCATTCTGCCCTCTCATTGTCCCCCTTGGGGCTCCCCGCCTGCCATCCAGGTCCCAGGAGCTCCCCCGGGCCTATCCCATTTCCCCCCCCCCCCCGCAGCCACCCCCACTTGTGGTTCCCAAAGCCCAGGCACCCAGCGCTGGGCTCCCAGGCCGTAACCCGATCTGCCCGTCTGCTCCACACCTGGGGCCCGCGCGCCTGGATGAAAGATGGCCTGGAAATGTGAGGGGTGTTACTGCGTCTGGCCCGCCCTGGCCAAGTGTCCGCACCCCTCACTCGCTGGCCTCCCAGCACTGGGCAAGGAGTTTTCATTTCATACATCATCAGTCACATCTTGCCGAAGCGATTTTGACCAAGTCAGCATGTGTCTCGAAGGCAATAAAAAGAAGAAAAGAATTCTGCTGACACGCACGTTCAGCGGGAGGTGGGGACCTCATCTTTGTAGGCAGAACTCTACCATCTGCCTGCCTGGGAGAAGGCTCAGCTGGCCTGGGGGCTCCCCGGAGGCATCCTGCACAGCTGAGGGAGTCTGAGGGCTGCTCCCTCTGTCCACCCACCTGGCCGAGGCCTCATGACCTGGGCCTCAGACCCCAGCAGGGAATGAGAAGCCAAGAGCTCACTCATGCACAGGCTTTAAAATCCCTATGTGCAAAGCGGTCTACCCTGGAGAGGAAACCGTTTTAGCACACCTGCGACGAAATGCAGCTTCCCGGGAAAACTTTCACTACACTGAAGATATAGACTCATTGCTTGCTCACTCTGGGGCTTTCTTTGACAATTTTTTAAACAGAGCAGTAAGATACTAAACAGCTTCTATCAGTCTTAAGTGGCAGTAGCCACAGTTCCAAATGGAAAATACACACACACACACACACACACACACACACACACACACACACACACACAGAAAGCTGATGCCCAAGCCGGGATTTCCAGGGTCTCATACAGCAGGAAGCTGTGGTTTTGTTTATTACTAGCATAGCTATTATTTCTTCCCTATTCAGAGGAAATCTGCTTTGATTTTGAGCATTTGCTACTCTGGGTTCAGCTTTGAAGGGGGCCCTTTCCCCCTTCCCAGAGTGGATGAGAGTGGCTGAGAATCCAAAGCATGTCCCTTCCGCCAGGCACCTGCTAAGCCCTGCACTGCCTTAGCCCACGTCACCCTCCGACGTGGAAGAGTCTGTTCTGCTTCTCAGACCACAGAGATGGGGACTGAGTTTCCGAGAGCAAGGTGCTCAAAGT